GAGCAGTAGTGGTGAATGAATCCCAGGGCCTTTGCACTGAGCTACATTCTCCAGGCCTTTTTTATTTCGAGACAGGGTCTTCTTAAGTTGCCAAGATACCCAGGCTGGGCTCAAGCTTGTGATCTCTACCTCAGTCTCTCAGAGTGCTAGGATTACAGGAGTGATTCACCATGCTTAGCAAGTAGCAAGTTTTAACCCCAAAAAAGAAAGTAGGGAGAAACTGAAAGCAACAGGGTGTCAGATGGAACTGCCAGATTCCATATGGGTACCCTATGGACTGTGTCTAAACACACCCAGCCCCTCCCTACCCCACGTTCCTACCGGGCGCCGCGTCCGCCGGAGGTGCAGGTAGACACGCTGGCCCGTCTTGTTGAAATGTCTCTCCACATACTGCTTCCCAAAACCCAGGAATGTGTTCATGCAGATGTAGAGGCCACCCTCAGACTCCTGCAGGGCACGAGGCAAGGGAAGAAACGCAGGAGGATGAAGCCTGGTGAGGCTGGGAAAGCAAGGACTTGGGAGTCAGAAACGCTGGCCTCTAGTGCTGGGAACAGAGCCGTATGTACCACAACACCTGGCTCTTCTTTAGCGTTTTAGAACCTGGAACCTAACATTCTCCCCCATTTCCTATGACTTTGCCAACAACCAGCAAGAACATCAGGAGATTAAACAACACCTCTCAGTCATCATTCATCTTCGCTCTGCTCCTTTGGGCTTTGCAACCCAGCAATCACAATCAATCTGAGGACTCCCTTCACTTCTTTTTTGAGAGAGGGTCTTACTATGCAGCCCAGGCTGGCATCAAACTCGCAGCCATCCTCCTGTATCAGCCTGAGTGCTGGGATTACAGGTGTGCATCTCCACACACTGCTTAACCTCTTTGTCTGAGGCCAAGAGATCCACAAAGAAAATGGGGACCAAACACTAGGTTTCCAGAGCTAAGAAACACACTCAGAGGGAAAAGGGGTCTTTTCCTGGAAGACACTGATCCCAGACCTGGGACGCCAAAAAGAAACATTACCTCATTTCCATAATTCAGAAACTTTCCAGACTAGAGGAACAGATTCCAGCACTGAACAGTACACCTAAACCTGAGATTGCCTAAAGGCCTGATCTTCCCTCTACCACATTCTGCTAGGTAGCTGAGCCCTGATCCACAGTCATCTCCCTCCTGTCCCGTTGAGCCTCGCTCTAGGGAACAATGCCTTGTTTACATTACAACTCGCACTAGACCTGCCCCAGTCTGGAAGGTCATCAAGTCGAGCATTCTACAGTCATCAGCCATGCCTTCCTCTTCCCTCCCTTTGGTAAGATTCCCCACTGCTGTCCCATTAACCTCCAACCTCAAAGCCACCACCCTCTTTGAAAACCAAGCAGGATCTGCTGAGATAGTTACTATACACTTACTGCCAAAGGACTGAGCAAGACAAGCGTCTACCCAGAATCACAGCTGAGAAGATGGGCTTACCCCAGAGCTGAGCAGGTCTACCAGTCCCTTTGCAAACAGTGATGGTGAAGGTGGGAGAGGAACTGGAGACAATGAGTCTTGCCTTCAAGGCTTTGAGCAACAGGCATCCTTTTCCCAGAATAAAAGTCTCAGTGGCCTTGAAAATTTTCTCTGCTGTGATATTAAAAACAGGGCAGAGTCTAAGGCAGTTCTTGGTCCTATCAGTTGCTCTGTACCACTCCCTAGAATAGTGTGGACTGCAGTCTTCATGAACAAATAGAGCATTTCTCACCAGGGAGATCAGCTAAGCTTTTTCTTCCGTGAACCCAATTTGAGGATAATCAAATACGCTGGGAGCTGGTTAGCAAAGCAACTAAGTCACATTGGAGATCTCTTGACTGGGGATGAAAAGGGAAATGTCAGAAAATGACAAAACCCCTTTTTTGATTATTCAAAGTAGTTACTAAAGACAGAGGCAAGATTCAAATGTAGAGAGACTCAATGACTTCTACCATCTGCTGATAATTAAGAAAAATCTTTCCTTCAGGGGAAGAAAGTGGGAGCTCTTCAGCTGGAAATAAGAGATGCTGGTTTCACCATGGATTGGGAACCCTGGAGCGCCGCTCAGATCAGTCCTCTTTTTACCTCTGCCAAAGCCAGACTTCAGAGAAGTAGCACATTGTCTGGCCCGGATCAAAGCCCAGCAAACCACAAATCTCAGTGGTGGCCCTGAACTGGGCCTCACATCATGCTGCTATACTAAGCACGGGCGATGCATTAATGAAGCCTTTCCACTCTGACTTGCAATTTTGAGGCCATGAGCTGGTCTGGCTGAACACTCTGGGCAAGGCCCAGCAGCGGCTTGCGGGGAGGGGTGGGGAGGGGGGCGGATCCCAACCAAGCTACTGCCCTCTCAGTTGAGGCCTGGAGGCTCGTCTCGGTTGAGGGTGACACAGGAAGGTAGAACCACGGGAAGGGAGGTGCCGGGTGGAGCCTGCAAAACGTGAAGCACGGGTGTGGGTGGTGGCTTTGTCTAACTAGGCAACAGTGGGAGCAGGATGGGAAAGGGCCCTTAGCATCCGCCCAGAAAGAAAGCATCTCTCCGGGAATACTTTAAAACGGGTTCTCTCTGCTCCCAGTGATGGGCAGGGTGGGGAAGGGTCTGCAGCCATAGTTCACCTATAGCAGAAACGACTAAAGCTCTCCTCTCCTTTTCCTCCCTCCCCACCACCATGACCCATCTCCCTGCCCCTGTCCCTATCAGCTGCGGGTGGAGGCTGGCTAACGCGGTGTTCCTCATAACCAGCCCTTCTCCAGCTCACTTCCAGACTACGGGCCGCTTAGGAACTGCCGTCCACACCCTCCCAAACCGGGACCACAACAAGGGGGAGTCGGCCCCATTCCTCCCCTATGAGACTACAAAACCCGGAGAGCCTCGCGCGCCTAGCAAGGTCGGCTCCCGGCTCTCTCGAGTCTGCCTGGGGGATGTAGTCCACTGTCTGGCTGCAGCCCCCAGGCTTGCACCGCAGTGAGGGAGGCACGCGACTACAAAGCCCACAATGCTATGCGGCGCGGGCACGCGCCGATCAGGCGCGGCGGCTTCCGGGGCCGGTAGTCACGCGGAGGCTCCAGCTAATGGAGAACAGCGGCGGAGAGGAGCGCGGGAGACTACAGGTTCCAAGATGCACCGCGGGGAGGCGGCGGCCCGAGCCTCGCAGGCCCCGGCAGAATGACCAGGGCGATGGAAGGAAGTCGTGTTCGCTGCGGGCGTGGGGAAGGGGCTTACCGGTGTGTCGAAGGAAAAGGCGCACTCGTCTTTATGGACCCGGTCGCCAGCCTTGGGGACCCGGATCGTTGGTAATACTGACAGCAGCGCCTCCTCGCTCAGCTCCGCCATGACACCGGCAGTAGCTCCTCCACACACGGCGGCTCTCACTGTTCCCAGTCCCCCACCTCTACTCTCCTAGCCAATGAGCGCTGCTCGACTGGCGCATGCGCTGAATGCCAGACACGCGAGAATGGCAGTTGGACGCAGCCTGCGGATAGTGCTCCGCCCCTTGCCCTACTCTCGCCCAAGGCCAATAAGAAGCGCTCTTCATTCGATTGAGGGCCAAAAGGACCAATCCTACTCTTCCAGGGCAGGAGCGCATGCAGAATAGCCAGGTGGACTTCGTGGCGGCGGCTGCTCAGACTTGAGGACTCCCTCGGTCCTCAAGTTTCTGAAGGGCAGAAGCTAACAGTTGTTTAAACCTCTGGATTCCCCAGACTTTCCTAGGGAGTTATCAGTCGAAAAGTAGACAGGCAGTTATTTTTCTTGGTATTTGAAAAGAGGCCGTCCAATGAGACAAGTTAAGAGGGTGATTGACAACCCCGTCAACCAATAAGAATTAGTATCTCTCGTTTCAGGAAAACTATCACAACTCCAATTGAATTCTTGTGTATACCAGCGTAATAATTAATGAGTCTATTTTGTTTAATAAAACGGCTTGTGTTTAACACTGGAGGTCTCAAAGCGAAGATTGGTATTCCTCAAAATCTCGTGACGGACATCTCCAAGCAGATACTGAACAACTCTTACCAAGTATACGTCACCCCTAGGCAAGGAAGCCTTAGTCCATTGGCCCCACAACCCTTATGATAGACATCCTCTGAGACCAATGGCTTTCCCTTTGGAGGCGGGTCTCACACAGTGGACCTATGGGAAGCTACGTTAGCTCAGCCAATAGAGTCGGGGTAGGGGGCGTGGCGGGAAGTTTGAAACTTGTAACTTTTGGGAGTTGATCCTCAAACTGGTTTGCACCCACAGGTGGAGTTGGACCCCGGTAAGTAATTTGAAAAAATTAATTAATAAATTAGAGGGCTCAGCAGACCCAGAATAAATATTTTGGAAAGTTTCGTCAGTCGTTCGCACCGCAGAAGCCTCTGGGCCAGCGACCGGGAGGTTCTTCAGCTGGAAACTGGAAAAATCAGGTGGTCTGGAGTCACAGGTTGTACATGGTCGCGGTAATAGCTAAGACCCGAGTTACTTCTCACAGGCATCCTCTCCTCTACCCTGCGGGCCCTGTCCCGACCGCTAGTGGAGATGGGCTCAGCCAAGAGCCTCCCAGCCACTCCAGCACGGCCTCCACCACATAACAAGCATCTGGCTCGAGTAGCAGACCCTCGCTCGCCTAGTGCTGGCATCCAGCGCACGCCTATCCAGGTACGAGAGGCCAGGGTGGGGAAAACAGAGAACCTGGATTTTTGGACTTCTGCCCAACCTGATCATGAGGGCGCAGACAAACCCCTGACCCTACTGAACCCTTATTTTCTGCCTTCTTAATCTCCCTGCGGTGGGCTGAACGTCTCAGGGACTTACTAACTCCCGCCGGAAATATGGGGAGAGAAGTCAGGACCCAGACTTGTTCTAGCCTATGGTCCTGACAGGTGGAGAGCTCTCCACAAACAAGCCTGCCAGCCAGAGAAGAGCTGGAGGACCCTAAGCAGGCCCAGGACTCAGATCCTCGCTCTCCTACCCTTGGCATTTCACGGACACCTATGAAGACCAGCAGTGTAGGTGAGTGTCTGCCCAGGGAGTGCCAGTGAGGCTGTCACCTATTGTTCTTGGGTGGAGTCAGTGTCCATCCCCTCAGGGTTCTCCTTTTATTTTTTGTGTCTCTGGGGATGGAACCCAGGGCCTTCCGAATGCGGGGCAAGTACTGTGCCATTGAGCCACACCCCCAGCTCCCATCCTACTCTTCTCACCTTAATTGCACTCTTCCCACTCTCTCACCTATCTGGGTGCGAATCCTAAGCTCCTGGATCCTCCTTGCTGAATGATTTGTGTAGAATGTTGATGCTCACTTCCGTTCTTTCCTCTAGACCCTGAGAGTCCACTGGTGACACAGCTGAGTGAAGTATTTGAGACTGAAGCCTCGAAACCAAATCTTCCCCCAGAGCCTGTTCTGGCCCTGGGAGCAGTTTCATCTTCTGAACTGGACTTGTCTGTGGATACTCAGATATCCTTGGAAGACCAGACAAAACCTCGGAACCAGATCAAGCTCCCCTCTAAACAGGCGTTGTCCAAGGAGGAAGCTAGACAGCCCACTGAAACCCCGGTGGCCAGCCAGAGCGCAGACAAGCCCGCGAGAGATCCTGAGACTCCCCAGTCTTCAGGTACAAAATCCAAGAGCAAGGTGCAGAAAAGAGAAACTATAGTATCCATGGGGGAGTGTGGGAAGAATAAACTGTAAGCTGCCAGTTTTGAAGCCCCCAATTTGAGGGCTTGTTCTAGCCTATGGACCCAGGCTAGATCACCCTAGGTTCTAAGTTGCTTTAATCACCCTAGGTTCTAAGTGCAGTAGACGGAAACAAAACAGCAAGGTCCTAGGGAGATCTCCCCTCACCATCCTGCAGGATGACAACTCCCCTGGGACCCTGACACCACGACAGGTAAAGGGAGGGAGGGGAAAAGCCATCACTAGCATATCCAACAGAGAGGATGGGAGGCCCTTTGACCCAGATCTTCCCATGCCTGAACAGCACCTCTCAGCCCCCCAGTGCACATACTGCCTCCTTTTGCAGGGTAAGCGGCCTTCTCCTCTGAGTGACAATGTCAGGGAACTAAAGGAAGGAGCCATTCTTGGAACTGGACGACTTGTGAAAACTGGAGGGCGAGCACGGGAGCCAGCCCAGGACCATGACAAAGAAAATCAGCACTTTCCTTTGGTAGAGAACTAAGCCCAGTGTGGGCCCAACCTGGACTCATGCAGTGCCTGGTAACCTTGTGTCCTTTCAGACCTCCTTGCCCAGAGAGACTGGAGAAAGGCTTGTTTGCTTTGACTTCTCTTAAACTACCAACTCGGGGACTTAGAGCTTTATTGGGCTTTCTTTGTGTCTTATGTATTTCTTGTATATTAAAGGAATTTTTTTTTGTCTTTTTGAGACAGGGTCTTACTGTGCAGTTAAGGCTGCCTTAAACTCACTTTGTAGGCTAGGCTGGCCTCCAACTCGCAGTGATCCTCCTGCCTCAGCCTCCCGAGTGCTGGGATTACTTGTGTGCCACCACACCCATAGGAAGTAATTTTAAACAATGCTTTAAGAAGTTAGACCTGAGGTTTGCACAGGGTCCTCTGTGTGAAGAATGGCAGCCTAGAGGACTGTGTTCCCTGAGAGTCTCCCCACTCTACTTCTGAGCCGCTTTTGCTCAAATCCCTTAAATCGTGGTGTTCTCTGGGGCTCTGTCCTTGATTTTTCTCTTATTCTCCCTTAGTGTATATTTCTAAGGCTTTAACTATCACTTTCCTACTATTTGTTTTGTTTTGTTTTTTTTTTTTTTGGTTTTTCTCCGGTACCAGGAACCGAACTCACAACCTTGCACTTGCCAGGCAGGCGCTTTGCCACTGAGCTAAATCCCCAGCCCCTCCTACTATTTGTTTTGTTTTGTTTTGTTTTTGTTTTTTTCCGGTACCGGGAATCGAACTCACAACCTCGAAATTTGCCAGGCAGGCGCTGTGCCTCTGAGCTAAATCCCCAGCCTCTGACTTTCCTACTATTCTGGTAATTTCTGGGTCTCTCTCTAGTCCTGATCTTTACCCAGCTGCTCCAGAAGCACTTCAAAGTCAGTTTGTCTAAAACTGAATGTATGCTCTTTCCCTAAAAGACATTCCCCGTCCCTTAGCTCCTACCCCTGTAAATATCTACCCAGCTGCTCAAATCCAAACCATGGCCTTCCTCTCAAATCCTTCCCTCTTGCTACTCACGTTTTAACAGCTGGTCATTAAATCCCAATGATTCTGTGTCTTTCCTGTATCTTTGGTTTTTATTCTTGTGGTTTTGTTTTTGAGGCAGGGTCTCACTCTGCCATTCAGCCTAGTCTTGAACTCACTTGTAGCCCAGGCTGGTCTCAAACTCACAGTGATTCTCCTGCCTCAGCCTCCCAGGTACTGGGATTACAGGCCTTTGCCATCACACCCAGCTCTATCACTCTTGTATTTTTTGCCACCTGCTTCCTACCCCATCTCCTGGGTGCCAGTCTCACCTTCCGTTTCACCAAGCTACACTCTGGTCAGGGCAGTCTTCCTGAGAATCTTCATTGATCACATGCTGCTCAGAATCCTTCAGGAGCCTCCCATTGCCCTGAAAATAGTCTGGACTGTGTAGCCTGGCATTCAAGTCCTTGTACAACCCGAATCCCGCACAGCACACACCCAAGCCTCATAGGCAGGCTGCGGTGAACTGTCTGTACACACACCCCAGCCACTGGCTAAATTCACATTTCCTGACCCAGCTTGGACTTCCTCCTGACCCTTCTGCCTTCACCCTTCTTACTGCTTGTATCACAGCACCTGTTACACCTTCTTGCCCTTAAATGGAACCCAGGCCTTCGGAAACCAATCAGCACAGAGGTACCAAGGTGCTATATACTTTATTGCAGATGCTTTGGGAGAGAAACAAAAGGTGGAAAAGGAGAAGGCATAAGGGGAAGGGGGCAGGAGCCTAGAGGTGCCAGAGCTGCGGTCACGGGCACGTGGCCCATATTTCCAGGGACTGGGGCCTGGGCCTAGAAGATTGGGCGGGGCTGCGAAGGGCAGCTAGGGGTGGGCTGTCCTCTCTCGTGCAGGGAGAGGCAGTAAGGAGGCTGTGGGAGGAGATGGGGCAGCTCTTTGCCCCTGTGTCCCTGTGGCTGCCTCCCACAAGCAGACTCCCATACTCCCCACTTCCCTCCACGGAGGAAGCTTAGTGGGAACGGCCCCTGGGACAGGAGAGAGAACTAGGAAAGACTGGGTGTGGGGGGGCAGCTGAATTCTCCATGCCTTCGCCTCCTTCTGCCAGCCTCCTCAGTTCCAGATTTTGAGGAAGCTGTCCCAGGAACCAGTGGCCACGGCCATCCCATCAGCTGTGACCCCCAGGCAGCTGACCCTGTTGTCATGACCAGAAAGGATCCCTGAGGAAGAAAGAAAGAAATCAACCTGTTCCTGTGTGCTGATTCAGACATCTGTGTGGGCAGGAGCCCTAGGCTGGTGGGCTTCCGGCTGCTGGAAGGGAGCGAGGGCCTGGGAGGATGAGATCTCAGGGCAGGGTTTCTCCTGAGGCCAGTTCCTCCATCCCCACTTGGCTGAGGATAAAATGGGGCAGACAGAATGGTTGGAAATGTCAGTGTGCTGTGAGAGAGGCCAGGGTCACCTCAAGGGTACAGGCAAAGGGGAAGGGGCGACCCTTTTGTCCAGTGCTTTTGTTCCAGAAGAAGAAAGGGCGACCCAGAGAAGTGACTTGTGCAAGGGAACTCAGAAAGTAAGGAACTAAATTAGGATTTGGATCCTGACTCTGGCCCTATAGCACCGGCCTCTCCTGAGATAAAACCAGGCCCAGGGGTACTCCAGATCTCCTGAATTCTCTTTCCACCCACAGCTTTCCTGGGCTTCCTTTTCCTAAAGTTCATGGCCCTGAAACCTCAGACACCAGGACAGACTGGATACCAAGGTCCAGAGTTTTGGGGAGACCAGCAGGAAGCGGCCACAGCAGGACACGGGGGAGGGCTGCTTAGAGCGCTTCCATTTGGGGGTACATGGCCCTCAGTGGAGAAGCAGGGGCTGCAGGCTTCCAGAGATAGAGTTATCCAGGCACTGGGGTCTGCATTAGGCATAGCGGGCAGGACGAGGTGGAACTGAGAGGGCGGGCAGGGTGGGTCCTCACCCACACGCTCGCACTTCATGGAGTCCCAGACGTTGCAGTTGAAGTCATCGTACCCTGCAAAGAGCAGGCGGCCGCTGAGCGAGAAGGCCACAGACGTGATCCCACAGATGATGCTCTCGTGGGCATATGCAGTCAGCTCCTGGTCTGCCCGAAGGTCAAACAGGCGGCAGGAGGCGTCGTCTGAGCCAGTGCAGATGGCCTCTCCATTGGGGAAGAACTACAGCACGGGAGAAGGGCATGGCTCGGACCTGGGGCACCCCGCCTGCCTCCTAGCTCTGATGGCTCAGGGCAAGCTGTCTCTCTCTGTCCTGGCCTGGAGTGAGAAGCAGCCGTAGCCTGGCTCTTCACAGAGGACTTTGTGCTCCCTGCTACAAAGCTGCAAGCAAGGTCGTCTTATGTGGCGGGCGAGAGCACTGGGCCTCTCCCAGGGCCACAGGCTAGAGGGGTGGGGATTGGCTCAGACTCCTAGGCCTGTGGGCTGGGGGTGGGTCGTAAAACATGGCCAGGTTCACCTGCACAACCTGATCTCATCATGAACAACGTCAGATCAACTCAATTGGGGGAACGTATGGAAAACTAATTAGTACGCCTTAAAAATGCCAATGTCATGGCAGGAAAATGGTTCCAGTTGTTTGAGTTTATTTAGTTTTGTTGAAACAGGGTCTTACTACATAACCCAGGCTGTCCTCAAACCCACAGCGATCCCCCTGCCTCAGCCTCTTAAGTGCTGGGGTTATAGGCTTGTGCCACCATGCCTGAGAATGGTTCCATTTAAAGACTAAAAAAATGATTCCAGAAGTCAGGCATGGAAGCACACTTCTATAATGCCAGCATCTTGGGAAACTGAGGCAGAAGATTCACAAATTCAAGCCCAACCCAAGCAAGTTAGTGACTTAGAGAGACGCTGCCTGTAAATAAATAAATAAATAAATAGGGCTGGTGATGTAGTTTAGTGTGAAGGCCCTGGATTCAATCCCCAGTAAAGAAAAGAAAAAGTTTAAAAATGTGGTAAAGAAATGCAATGAATTGGGTCCTGGGCAAAAAAACATCAGGGTTCGTGGTGCATACTTATCATCCCAGCTACTCGGGAGGCTGAGTTTCAGAGACAGAATGATAAAGGAAACAGCAAAACATTTAACAGTGAATCTGGCTGAAGGGTTCCTGGAATTCTTTTGGTTAGTTTTGTTTGTTTTTTTCCGGTACTGGGAATTGAACTCACAACCTTGCAATTTGCCAGGCAGGTGCTGTGCCGCTGAGCTAAATCCCCAGCCCCTTTTGGTTAGTTTTGAAACTGTCACATAAGGTGAAATGGTTTTAGAGTGAAAACTTGAAAAGCAAGGGCTGGGGAAGCCACAGGAGGGACCAGGGACGCAGGGGTGGGGCACTCACACAGATGGCATTGATGTCTGATTCGTGGCCGGTGAAGGTCTGACGGCAGGTCCCCTCCCGCACATCCCACAGCTTGGCGCTGGCGTCACAGGCTCCCGAAATGAAGAGTTTGTAGTCAGGAGACACAGCCAGGCTCATGCAGTCACCAGTGTGTCCCACAAACACAGTCTTCTGCTGTCCTGTCTCGATGTCCCACAAGGCACTGCCAGGAGGGAGCAAGGCAGTCACACGTACCCAGGACGGGCCCCTTCCCCAGCCTCAGCACCCACAGCCTCAGCCCTCACCATGTGGTGTCCCCGGAGCTGGTCACAATGTTGTTGTCATCCAGGAAGCGGCAGCAGGAGAGATAACCTGGAGGTGGTTACAAGGACAATGCCCTGGCTGCAGGGCCATGCTCCACCCAGACCTCTCGGACAGCACAGAGGGTCTCACTCACCTGTGTGAGCAGAAAGCTCCCGGCTGACTTTGACATTGCCCTCACGGGATTTGAGGCTGTAGATGGAACACATGTTGTCCAGCCCCCCGCATGCCACGAAGTTCCCGGATGGGGCATAGGCACAGGTCATGACCCAGGAGGAACGCAGCGGGATGGCATGCACCTGCGGCAGAGGAGGGACCAGGGCTGAGCTCCAGCCAGGCAGGGGCAGAGCAGTGGGCAGAGTGCCACCCAGGAGGGTGTGGCCATGGAGGGTCGGTGGGGGCAGGGCTGGTACCTTGTTGGTGGTGTAGGTGTCCCACACAATCAGCTTCCCGTCTTGTGAGGCACTTACCAGCAGCCTGCGGAGAGTGTGCCCGTGTCACCCACATCTCTCCTCCCTGCCGCCCCTGCCCCTCTGGCCCCTCTGAAGCCTCACTTAGAGTCCGTGGCCCAGTGCATGGCATAGATCTTGGCTAGATGCCCTCTTAGCGTCCGCCGTGTCCGCATCTGGACTCGTCCCACCACCTCTAGACCAGACACCAGCTGCCAAGAAAGGGGGATTAGATGTCAGGCATCTGCTACAGATGCTGATCTGTATGAGTTCCTGCTTAGCAGTAGGCTCCAAGTAGGTTCTCCAACCTTAGAGGAGTAAACCAACCCCCACCCCACCCCTGCACTGGTGTGACTTAGAACCCTGCGGGACACAGATGCTTGTGTAGCCCTGGCTTGCTGGGAAGTGTTCAGCAGTGTTCCTCTAGACTGGGGTTCCACCATGTAAATACTCTCACCTTGGTCGATCTCAGGCTGCCCCAGTTGTGTCACTGAACACCAACTTTGGAAGATGACGCAGTTGTCTTTCCTAAGGCAGTAGGAGCCTGCTGTCTGTTGCTCACCACCGCAGTATGCCCAGCTCTAACCCTGGTGTCCCCAAGACCCTACGCTACAGCTCCTAGAATGTGTACTCCTGTACCCCTGGAATGCCAGCAAGCCTCTAGATTTAGGCTGGGCTCCAGAGTCAACAGATTTGATTGCCATTACTGTATTTGCTTTGTTATCTTTTTTTTTTTTCCTTCTGGTACCAGGAATCGAACTCACGACCTTGCGCTTGCCAGGCAGATGCTGTGCCGCTGAGCTAAATCCCCAGCCCCTTGCTTTTTTATCTTGTGCAAGTTACTTAACCTCTCCGATCCTGAAGGTGTAAAGTGAGGCTTATCATAGCACCTACCTTACAGAGGTGACATGAAACATATGAAATTATACGGATTATCCAATATATGAAATTATGTACCTCAGCAGTTTAGCTCAGTGTCTGCCTCATGATAGTTGCTCTTGTTATTTGCATATGTAATCTGATCTTTAATCTTATTACTAGCATATTTAATCCAGTTTAAGATGGCTTCAGCTCTAAGAAGCCCGTTATTGTATAATCGCTAAGAAAAAAAATGCTACCTGTTCGAATTGAAAGGCATTATCCATTGTTGGGTGCATCCTGATTTTAGAGATGTCTAAATGTGAAGAAGCGCGCGTGGTAGAATGGGTGAAACGCAGCCTTAGGCAACTACTAATCAGAGTCCATAAGGGCTTCATGATTTACAAAATAGTTTCACCCCCTTCATCTTCACTGCTCTGGGAAGGGGTAGCATCACTCTTGTTTTATGGAACAGGACAGGAACAATGTCTGAGTCTTCAGCATCAATACAGTGCTGGTCAAAGTAGGTTGGCTAAACATTTGTGGAATGACTTCATCAATGCCTTTCCTTATTCCAAGGACATGCTGTGCCATTAGTTTATCCCTGGCTAGGGAGCTCCTGTCCTCTCCTTTCATACCCTGCCTCAGGCGGGGGCTGTAGGTCTCACCTCTGACAGGGTGATATCAGCACAGGCTTTCCTGGCATCCTGCGGGGAAAGCAGACATCAGGGGTGGCTACAGCAGGGTGGGGGGTGTGGTGTACGGGCCTTGGAGGGAGACAGGATGGGGCTCTAGGGGTTAGGGGGCCTCAAATGTGAGATTCAGGTCAGGGAGGTCTAGTCACAGTGAAGTCAAAGGTCTCCAAAGTTTCTCAGCAAACCCAGCCCTTCCCTCCAGGCCACACGCCCTCTTATCCTCAGTGTGTGTTCTGGGGTCCCCAGCGGGAGGGTTCTGGGGTTACTGCGATCTGCTTCTTGAGCTGCTCCGCCTCCTGCCTCAGCTGCTCCATCTCCCCCATGGCTGAGAGGTTGAGGGGTAGCTCCGGCTCCTGCCGGGAACACAAGGTAAGTACTGGGGAGGCCCCACCAGGCCAGGCTTCTATCCTCTACCACCCACCCCAGACTCTTGAGGGTTGGAGCCCACCTAAGACACAGAGAAGAGATGGGGGTGTCTTCCCGCACCCCTACCCTGGTCAGATCCTTCCAACTGGCGTCTGGTACACCCAGCCCCAGCCCGACCTGTGCCCGCCCTGCAGCCCCCAAGCCCAGAGGGCAGAGCCCGGGCCAGCTCCCTCTTACTTGGGTGCTGGTTGGACCTCTCCCAGGTTTCTAGCTCTGGATCCCAGGCGCCTCCTCGCTCCCTCAGCTGCGACGCCTGCCTGTCACCTGCCCCAGCTCTGCTGCCAGAGGAGCTGGCCTGGCCTGGCCCCGGCTGGGAGGGGGGGCACTGACAGGCAAGGGTGGGGCCAGGGACATCGACGTCAGGCAAATGAAATCGGCTGGCAGGGGTGGTGGTGGGGAGGCCAGGAAGGGAGGACGTGTGTGGTTCTAGAAACTTGGGGCAGCTCAGAGGAGGGGTGGGGGCAGGAGTGTACACTAGAGACAGGAGCAGACCCCACACCCAGCCAGGGGGCGGGGGTGGGGTGGGGGGTGGAGGGTCCCTTCCTGGTCAGTCTGCAGGCAGAGATAAGAGCATCAGGCCCATGGATCAGAGCAAAGCTGTGAGGATTAAGGCTCGGGGTTTGGGAGGGAACAGAGGAGCAGCCCCTAGGGTGGCCCCCAGCCTCTGGCCCCCACCTGTGGGCACGATCTTGGCAGTCAGGGCCTGCTCAGTGACCAGGCCAGGAGCCAGGGTGTAAGGACAACTGATGGCCCTGCTGTCAATACCCCAAACTGTTCCCTAGTTGAGGGGGGTGGTGGGAAGAGGGCTGCGAATGTGGGAGGGTGCAGACAGGAGCTGAGATTAGAAGGGACTGATCTGGATAATCCTTCTTCTCCACAAACCCCAACCAGCTGCCCCTGGGCCTGATCCTGGGTGGGAAATCAGGGACGGGGGTCTGGACTGCTCCTTGCCCAGTGACTCACGGGGCCCCACGGGCTGTGAAAGCAGGAGGCAGAGGGTAGGCTGCCCCCACTCAGCCTTGTGCAGGGAGGGAAGACGGGGCTCAGTGGAGGCCCAAGGAGCAGATGGTGGGGGCTTGGGCCCATTTGCATGAGGAAGCAGGTGGCAGAGATTTCCCTGACAAATCACAGGCTCTCACAGCCCCGCCTCTGGGAGACCCAAAGACACTTGTCTCCTTTTTGGCCAGCCACAGCCGTCCCTACCTCCAGCACCACAGACACTGTTACACATCAGATGAGGGCTCTGGCCAGGGACCCAGGGGTCATCAAGTCCTTTATTGAGCAGGTGGGGAGGGAGGACACAGCACCGTTATCCTCGCGGAAAGCAGTCAGCCTCCAGCCCTGGCCATTGCTTTTCAGGGAGGCACAGTGTCCTCTGTCTGTCCCAGAGCTGCAGGGCCATCAGCTGGAGCCAGGCCCACTCCCAGGCTTGGTGAGCACCCCGAGTCCAGGCTGGTGCCCTGTGGATCCCACATGGGAGAACGCAGGGACGGTGAGCTCACGTTCGGCTCCTGACATCATGCAGAGACTTCTCGGGAATTCTTTCCCAAGCCAGGTGGTCACACTCCCAAGGCACAGTCTCAGCCACTCACAGCTCCTCTCGGACCCATGGTGCTTTCCCAGCTCTGTCGTGGGTCCGCTGGGGCTTGCGGCTGGGGGGCTCTGGGACAGGGTCTCTGCTGGGGGTTTCATCCTCCTCCTCCTCTTCCTCCTCCTCCTCTTCCTGCTCAGGCTCCCGCAGCAGCTCTTTGGCTTCTGCCCATTCCTGGAGAGGAGGGGGGAGTGAGGCTAGTCCTGGGGCCTCAGTCCTCAGGAGAACAGGGTCTCTCCCCAGCCCCCTTCTCTTACCTGCTCCTGGTGCTCTGGGGCCCACGTGTGCCACAGCGCCAGGGCACAGCGCCGCCCACGCGTCACAGCCCACACACCGTGAGGGTTCTCCACACCAGAACTGAAGGCTACAAGGCGTCCGCAGCGAGGACGAACCTGGGCCTGGGGGGCCAGCGGGCTCAGATCCAGAGACAGAGAACCCGCCTCCGCCTCCCAGGTGGCTCTCTTTCCCTCATTTCCTGCGTCTTAATTCAGGGACCTATTCTGGACCCATGGGAAATCAGCTTCCACTTGGGGAGCAGAAATGGCTCCCTGAGATTGGAGGAGCTCAGGTCCAAGCTGGGAGCTGAGAGCCATCAGGGGGCCTGAGGATCATGAGTTCAAGGCCAAGCCTGAACTAGTGAAACCATGTCTCAAAACAAACAGACAAACTCAAACAAAATCCTTAAACTAGTTACTCTAAGACTGGGAGCATAGCTCTGGTGGGACACTTGCCAACATGCCCAAGACTTTGGGTTCAATCCCCAGCATCATTTAAATAAATAAATAAATACTATCATCATCACTCCCATTTAGGAAACCGAGCCTCAGGAAGGTTAAAAGCCAAAACCTGGGCTCCACTCCAGCATCTGCACACTAGCCGCCATCCTTGTCATACTGGGAGGAGGAAGGACAGTTTTAAATTTTTTTCAAATCCCTAAAATAGGGTCATGGGGTTCCAGAGGGATCCAGGCTATGCTTCACTCACTTTCCATTTTTGTTTTTTGTTTTTGAGACAGAGTCTTGCTATGGTGCCCAGGCTGGCCTCCAGCTCCTGGGCTCAGGAGATCCTACTTTCTCACCCTCCTGAGCCAGACTACAGGCAAGTGCCACGGACACATTCTCCCTTAGGAGGTGAGGTGAACCCGGAAGGCAGGGTCCGGGGGGCCACTTAGAGAGCTACTGGGGGGACGCAATCAACTTCTGCCGAAAGAGCCCTGAACCCAGCAAGGTGGCCGGGAGCCCTGGAGACACAGGCAGGGAAGGGTTACAGCAGCCCAGCCATTTCCCTGGATTTGCCTCTGAGAAGCTTCTGTTTTGAATTCTGACCCCACAGCTGGGCCCTGTGTCATCCCAATCCCCTCTGTCGCCTACCGTGACAGTGAGGGCATTTGGCTGGGTGAAGAACAGATCCCCGCCTTGGAAGTCATCATTGAGGTAGAGGAGTCCACTGCGAAGGAAGAGGACAGGAGGCAGTGGGAGCCCACCTAGGCCTGGGCAGCTGTGGGGTGACCTTTGTGTGCCCACCTGCCTGCACCCACCTGTAGTCTCGATAGGTGTAGGCGGGGGGCTCCCGCCAGCACTCTCCTGAGTCCGGGTCCAGGACGCAGTTGTCGGCGTGCACAGGGTGGCTCAGGTCCATGCGCTGCTCCTGCTCTCCTGGCACACGTCAAGGGGTCCGGTGAGACCTCTACAGCCCTGCTCACCCCCCACCCCACAACTCACACCACCACAAGCGCCCCAAGGCTCCTGGGGTCACAAAGAAGCCAGACTCTACCTGGTCAGGGGGTTTGTGAGCATTATGTCTTTTTTTTTTTTTTTTTTTTGGTTTTTCTCCGGTACCGGGAACCGAACTCACGACCTTGCGCTTGCCAGGCAGGCGCTTTGCCGCTGAGCTAAATCCCCAGCCCCCTGGTCAGGGGGTTTGGAATCTTTTTGGACTAAAAGGTTGGGGGGTCGGGCAGTGCCGTACCTAGCAGTCTGGGGAGGCACGCTGGGGCCCCAGCAGTTACCTTCAATGGCACTGCGGCATACCAGGTGGGTGAAGGAGAGATACAGAGGCCGTTCCGGGGAGAAGTAGGCCTGGGTCAGGGTCCGCACCCGCTCACTCACTTCCAGAAGCAGCTTAGCACCCTGACTGCCCACAGTGCCAGCCTGGGCCAGCTGTGGGGCAGAAGGCAGAGCAGGGAAGGAGCGAGGCAATGGCAGATGGCCCGGCCTTCACCCCTGCCCTCTCCTCCACTGTCCACACATGCCTTGGAGGCTCAGCAGCTGGCTGTGGCCATCACCACTGTGACAACAACACCCCAGGTGCCTAGGCCCCTGAAGACACGCTTTCTCAGCCCCGGCCTAGCTCTCAGGTAGTCCTGGTTGTGGGAAAGTTCCTCCTCACAGGCCTAGGCCCTGGTGCTAGTCTCTTGCACACCTCTTCATCAGCCCCAGGCAGGACACCTTCTCTCACCTGTGCAGCCTTGAGCACTGTGAGCCCCTCAAAGTGCTCATGGGGGGTGTGAGGGGAACGACGACCACGATAGCCAGACCTGGCTCCAGCACCAGCTGCATCCTGGGTAGAAAGGGAATTCACATGGTGTCTTTCTCCCTGGCCTACATCACAGCCACAGGCCTACAGGGCCCTCCCTCCATCCAGCCTTCCCATTCCCTGGAAGAGGCTGGAAGCTCCCGTAGCTCCCCGGAGGCTCCTATTTCTGAGCTATAGGCCCTTCCCAGAGAATGACTAGAGTCATGGCTGCCTTCACTGTCATTCACCAAGCACACGGTGTGAGGACAGACCTCAGGGAAGGGACCTCCAAGAGGGAAGGGGAAGAGAGACAGAGCTGGGGACCAGAAGAGCTTGTCACTCATCCCAAGGAGCTGGAAATACAGGCATCTTTGTGGAAACAGGACCCCAAAAGGAAACCTGGCAGGCAGGCTCAGTCTGGGCTAGAAGCTGACTCTTCATACCTTCATACCAAGAGGTCCACAGCCTCTTGATGCTGAGCCCTAGTCACCAAGCACCTGTACAACAATGTGCATCACCTAGGGGTCCCCCACAGCCTGGGGAATCTACAACTAGGGCTCTTCCCTTTTGTAGCAGCCATTTTTCTGTTTACTTTTCAAATCTCAAATTTAAATACCACTGCCTTGCTACCCCTTATAGACCTCATCTCTGAGGACCTCACCGCCTCACTCAAGCCACATAATCTTCATTTATTTATTTTTGTGTTGCTGGGAACCTCATGCACAGCAGGCAAGTGATCTACCACTGAGTCACACCCCCCTATCCAAAGCTTCTATTCTTATATTCAATTCATCCAACACATTTGTGCTGATCACCTACTATGTACTAGACCCTCTTCTAGAAACCAGGAACACAAATGTGGAGGAAAAGTCCCTGCTCTATGAGACTTTTGCTTATTTACTTAGTGGCACTAGGGATGGAACCCAGGGATGGCTTTATTATTGAGCTATATCACCAGCCCTTTTTTTCTTAAATTTATGTATTTTGTGACAGCATTTTGTTAAATTTCCCAGGCTGGCCTGGAATTTGTGATCCTCCTGCTTCAGCTTCCTGAGTAGCTGGGTTTACAGGTCTGTGCCACCGGACTTACCTGGGATTTATATTTTGAGGTGATAAAAAAAAATAAATAAACAAATCAGACCAATTCACAGGGCGATAAAGTGCCATAAGATAATTAAAACAGTGTTACAATCTTTTTTTTTTTTTGGTTTTTCTCCGGTACCGGGAACCGAACTCACAACCTTGCGCTTGCCAGGCAGGCGCTTTGCCGCTGAGCTAAATCCCCAGGCCCCAGTGTTACAATCTTGAGCGTCCCCGGGCAGACACTGGGGGACAGCTCACAGCAGAGGTGACACCCAAACACAGCCATGCAGGTCAGAGGAAATAGCAGCGGCTAAGGTGTGGAAGCTAGAATGAGTCCAGCATGAGCAAGGAGCAGAAGGAAAGCCTGATGTTTGGGAGTTACCCTTACTCCCTCCACTCATCATCGTCCACCTCAACTTTGCCTTTTCTTTTCTTTAGACCTGGTCTCACTAGCAGTCTAGGCTAGCCTAAAACTCACTCTACTGCCCAGGTTGGCCTGGAACTTGTGATCCTCCTGGCTCAGCCTTCCAAGTTCTGGGAATACAGGCTTGCACTGCCACACACCAAGTTCATTTTTGATTTTCTAAGTGTGTTTCTCATCTGCTCGCTATTCCAATGAGATGGCCTAACTGAAGCCACCGCGCCGAATCACGCCATTTTGCACAGCGCCACTAGAGGGCGCCACTGCTTCTACACGATGCTGACTCCGGAATTGTACTTGAAGGTTCTACAGACACTCAGAAGTCATCTCTCAAGTTCTGCAGCAGCTGTCCACCATCCACCAACAAATCCCACACTCCTTGGCAAGGTTATCCAGCATCCGGCCTGGGCTTTTTTTAAAATGGTACCAGGAATCGAACTCATGACCTCACACTTGCCAGGCAGGCGCTGTGCATCTGAGCTGTATCCCCAGCTTCCGGCCTGGGTTCTTTCCCTCTTCCCTTGTATCACCTCTTGAGAATACACAGCCTGATGGCAACAGCGACAGCCAACACTGAGCGCTGTGTTCTTGTGTGTGCTTTACCACATTCTCATTCACACAATCCTCACTACATCATTGTACAGATAGTACACTGGGCTCGGGGATGCTTAAATAGACTTCCCTGGTGCTCTACTACAGTTCCCAGAATGCTCCTCCTCTTCCTTCTTCCTGACCTTCCTCCCCTTCTTGCTAGTATTCTTTGTGCTATGGTGATCAAATTAGCCTTGCACAAGACAGGCAAGCACTCTACAGCTGAGGTTCACCCCTGCCTCGCTCCCCAACACTTTTTTTTAAAATAGAGTCTCACCATTTTGCCCAGGCTTCTCTTGATCTCTTGGGCTCAAGTAATCCTCCTGCCTCAGCCTCCTGGCTAGTAGGACTGCAGGCACATTCCATTGTACCCCTTTTCCTGGCTAAGACTGGGTAAGACTGAACTCAAAGGCCACCACTCTGCTAAGCCCCCATGACTTTGCATCAGTGCTGTCGGGACGAATACATGCTTCTTTATCAAACTCACCGTGTGTTGTCCACATCTCTGCCTGTGCACGCCCTGTCTATACACATGCTCCCAAAAGGCAGAGTCTATGCACCCCGAGGCCCCGGGAATATGGCAGTTTCTCTACACAGCAGAGGCTCTGAGAGTGCTGCTGAATGAGTAACAGCCTAGGACAAGGACCCAAGCTTCACGCAGAGGTACAGTCAACCTTCGGGTATGGGCCATTTGATCCAAAGTAGGAGCTGACACAAGGATGGAAAAAGGTGCCTGCGTGTCACCACACTCACGACGCAATCCGCTAACCAAGGACCTGCACACGCAGCCATTTCTGGGCCTCTGTGGTTTTCTCTTGTTCTTCCCATCAACTTGCAGCAAAATTTCTTTGTAAAGAACATCCACCCCATGCCAGCTAAGAGGTGGCAATCCCCAGATCGGGCTTGGTTTCCTATGCTCCCCAGTGTAGAATGGAGATGGGCCGAGCAGGGGCATGGCCAGGACCCCCACCCCACAGGAGCAGGCCATGACCCTTCCAACCTTGGCCAGCTGCAGTAGCACCCCGCACTCGGCAGGAGTAAGCAGCCCGTCCAGCACTGCTCTCTCCGACCCGTTCAGCTGCCTGGCGTCCTGGGTCAGGGTCACCCCCTCCAGGAGGAGGACATCTGCAGGGGAAGGGACAGCACTGAGTCACTGGGGATCCTCAGAGCAGACAGCCCCAGACGCGCCGGACTCCTGCCCCCAGGAGCTCACCCTTCCAATAGGCCAAGGGCGTCGGCTGTGGAGGCTCCTGGTCCCAAGGTCTCTTCTCTTGATCCTCTCTCAGGGGTGCAGACATACTCAGGGGGTGCACAGGCCAGCCCAGACCCTGCCTCCCAGCTCCCCTTCCCCTTTCCCCCACCCCAGGGCACTCCCTACCTGAGCTTTGCTCTCAGCACCTCAGGGATGAGACCTGCTGGGGTCCAGGGATCCTGTGACCATGAAGAAAAGTCTGTCACCCACAAATTCAGTCCCTGAGACCCCCAACATTAGACTCTGAATCACCACACTAAGGTCCTCCTGCTTCTGGAGTGGAAGGCAGGGATGGGAAAGCCCTGGGTCCAATATCAGGGTGACTCAGCACAGTACCCTGGGCACTGGACAAACCTGTGATAATAAATAACAATAGCAACGACAGCTTGCATAGCACTTATTCCGTCAGGTGCCGGTGTGAGAGCTTTCTACACGGAAGTGGAATTTACCATTTCAGGTTCACAATGGTCTCATGAAACAGGGTTAATGGACTCATAGTTGAGTCCTGAGACAGAGGTCAAGTAACATTCTCAAGATCACATGGCTAGTAAGGGACAGCATGAGATATAAGCTAGCTCCCCTGCCCTTGCTTTTGTCCAGCGGCTCTCAGCCAGGGCGATTTTGCCCCCAGAGGACATCAGGCAACATCTAGAAACTTTTTTTTTTTTTTTTTTGGTTTTTCTCCGGTACCGGGAACCGAACTCACGACCTTGCGCTTGCCAGGCAGGCGCTTTGCCGCTGAGCTAAATCCCCAGCCCCTAGAAACATTATTGATTGTCACGACTCAGTGTACTATTGATATCTACTGAATGGAGCCCTGGAAAGTTGAACATTCTACAACAAATCCCTTTCCTACCACCAACAAGGAAGTACTGCGTCCAAAATATCTGCCGTGAGTGTGTGTGTGTGTGTGTGTGTGTGTGTGTTTACACACACATGTGTGTGTGCAGTGCTGGGGATCAAACCCAAGGCCTTGCACATGCCTGGCACCACCAAGCTGAATCCGCCACCCTAAAATGTCAGTAGACAATCGCTGCTCCACGCTAACTCACTGGAGACAGCTGCTGCCCTTCCCTTGGCCCTTGTGACCACAGCAAAGGAAAGAGCTTTCTACTCTGTACTGGGTGATACAGCTTCAGCTAGATGAGGTGGCACATGCTGGGAGCCCCAGCTCTCTGAGAGGCTGAAGCAGGAGGATCACAAGTTCCAGCCCCGCCTGGGCAACTGAGCAACTTAGCAAGACCTTGTCTCAAAATAAAAAATAAGAAAGGGGCGAGGAGTATAGCTCAGTTTAAAGGTTTTGAGTTGAATCACCAGTACCACAAAAAACCTTATAATATATATATTCTTCCTCAGCCCCGTGGGACAGGTGTGATTGCTGTGATTAACAAGTAAGGAAACTGAGGTGGAGGTAAGACAAGGTCCGGAGCGCGCTCGTGGCAGAGGGCTGACTCTCAGGCCTGAACGATCCCAAAGTAACTGCGAAGTACAGGCCCACTGCCTGTCCCTGGGACGCTGGGGTGACGAGCTTTCCCAAGCCTCCTGGGGCCAGGGGAAGTGACACAGGCATGGAGGGTCCCGTGCTCTGGGTGGCAGGGATGTCGGGATGGGACACAGAGAAGTCACTCACAGGGTCCCTGAAGCTGGTGCCCAGGTGCTCCATGGCATAGTAGAGCTGCCTCTTCTCCCCCAGGGACCGAAGGATGAAACTCTGGATGTCCTGAGGGGCAGATGGGAGCAGAGGGGTACAAGGAGAAGGGTAGAGTGGAGGAGGGCAGGGCACCCCGATCTAGGGCAGGCCTGCATGCTACTTAAGCTTTCACTGCATCACTTGGCTCTGGGGGTCAAACTGGGGGAGTAGCAGGAGTGCGTGTGTGTACATACGTGAGTACAAGGTAGGGGTAGGCAAGACTGAGGCTAAGGGAAGAGAGTGGAACTAGGAGTGGACTCCATGGGGAGCAGGACTGGAGGCAGAAGCCGGATGTTGAAATTGGGTTCCCCATGCTGGCTGGAGCACTCGAGTGAGAGGCGTCCAGGTTATTTCTCAGCTACATCTGTGTGACCCAGGGCTCCCTCTAGTAGTCAGTGCAAGAGCCCATACCTCTCTTGGCCCAAGGCCAAGCCCCTTCTCGCCTAGCTGGGCCTGGTACCGGGTCAGCGCCTGCTTGGCAGCCTCATCCTCTGGGTAGAAGAGCAGGACACTCAGGACATTTTCCACAGCTTGAGACAGATTCCCCACTGGAGACGGAGGGATGGGGGAGGAGACACAGAGGCAGAGAAATGCAATGACCCTGGGCACAGGTGGACGCTGGACAAAGGCAGAACTGGCAAATGCCATAACCCAGGCCAACCGACAGACTCCGGGAGGCCCTGGCCGGCCTGGCAGAGGTGCCCACCCCTTGCTTCTTTGCTAAGCTTACTCAAACATACCTTTGCCAGCAGAAGCCAAAGCGGAAGAGAGGAAATAAAAGGAAGGTGACAGGCAGCAAAGGCAGAAGGGGCCCGGTGATGAACCCATCACCCAAGCTTTTCGTAGTGGTGCCAAAGAAAGAGAGCACACTAAGGGGCCTCCTCCTGAAGGGGCGCTCCCATGGGCCCTGACAGGCAAACTACAGATCCAGAGACAGAAAGGTGGGGCTCAGCAAACCCTCAGAGATGATCCCGGCACCCCAGGGCCCACCCTTCCCCAGCTCACCCTGAGCATGGGCCTCATGCAGCCGCCTCAGCTGGCTGGGGAAGAAGTCGGGAACTGGGAGGCTGCGACCTGGACGGGTGGCTATGTCTGTCACACAGCGCTGCCGGCACTGCAGGACCCGAATCCAGTGTCCTGCAGAGGACAGGGCCAGCAAGGGGCTGTGCATGACGCGAGCCCACTCCACACCCTCCCACACTCCTCGCCCTCACCTGCAATGGCTGGGTAGAGGCCACCATGGCTCCCTGCCCCTCCCTCCTCCTCCTCCTCCTCAGTCTCCTGCTCCTGCTCCTCCGGCCCCTCACAGGCAGCCCGGCAGCTCTCCATCTGGGCCAGGCTCCCCTGCAGGGCTTCCTCCAGCCTGGGCAAAGCCAATCCCACCTCCAGGCGTCCCAAGAGCTCCAGGCCAGTGTCATAGTCAGCCTGTGGGGGAGGGGAGCAGTCAGTCATCTGACAATGGGGGGCGGATTAGGTGGTGAACAGAACAGCAGTGTTGGTCTCCTTTGGGGCACAGCTCCTCTGCTTTGAGGCCACTCAGAGCCTTGGTCCAGAGAGACAGGTGTATCCAGCCAGTCAGAGGGGAGCCCAGGCAAGAGCAGCGCAGAGGTCTCACCCAGTACGGGGGTGTCTCCAGGTCCCGGAAGCTCTGGGGCCGCAGCCCCGACATCCGTCTGTACTTGGCCATATCCTCCCGCATCTGCAGATGCATGGGGTTCGCCACGAAGAAGGTGTGCGCTGCTGCTGCCGCCAGTTCTCGCTTCTTCAACTGAGGGGCCGAGGGTGGGGGCGTCAGAGCCGGCCCGCAGTTCCCACTGTAGACCCTCTAGAAGCCGGACTGTGAGCCTTTCAGGAGCCCAGTGTCTAAGGAAAGGGGTTCTGAAAACTTTAGAGTGGATGGGATGTGATCAGAGGAGCTCAGGGTGACAGCGTGAAATCAACGGCTACCTAAAGTGGAAAAGGGGGGCGACCGGGGCAACAGCCAAAGCCGCAGGTCTCTAGGACCCGGCGTTGAGGTGTATGATCCAGCGCCCCGCTTCCCGGCCACGTAGGCATCAGGCGTCCGACTGTGGCTACCGTCCCTGGCCGCGCGGCTCCCTCCGACTTCCGGCCTTCAGCCTCACCGGCGCCCCTCTAACCTTCCCGAAGTCCTCCCTCCTCCGTGAAACACACAAACACGCCGTTTCCACCACGCCGGCTTCGCCCGCCGTCCTGTGCTTTTCACAACCGAGAACAGGCGGCGCTCACTCCGCCTCGGTCTCAGTAAAACCCACCAAACTGCCCGGCGTGGGGGCGCACGGCTATAATCCCAGCACTTGGGAAGCTGAGGCAGGAGGATCGCCGCGAGTTAAAAGGCCAGCCCGGGCTACATAATGAGTTCAAGGGCAGCCTGAATTACAGAGTGAGACCCTGTCAAAACCAAAAGAACAAAACCACTAAACCAAAGCCCAGAGCTCCCTCCATCTTCGCTCTGGTCCCACCCCGCCCTCTCCCGGTCTGCTCGAAGTAGGACAACGACGCGGCGGGCAGCGCTGAGACCCGCGGGCCCGCACCTGGTAGTAGGCCCTCTGCAGATAGTTGTAGGGCTCCCGCCGGCGGAAGGCGTCCCGCACAGCTCGCCCCACGCGGAGCCGCGCCGCGCCCCCGGG